TGTGTGTGTGCGTGTGTGTGTGTGAGAGAGAGAGAGAGAGAACAGAGGTAGGCAACAGCAGTCACAAGAGGGAGGGAGCAGTGAGAGGAGAGGGGATTACATCATTGCTGTAGGACCACTTTTCTGTTTGACTGCAGAGGGCTCTCTCTTTTCTTTCTTTCCTCTTATTCTCACCTCATCCTTTTTTATCTCTCTCTATCAATCCTCAACCACTCTCCCTATTTATGTCATTATTCTTTTTCATGTCTTATTTGGTTTAAATCTCTCTCCTCAGCTGTCTGTGTCTTTCTCCCCGAAGCGTTTGCCAGGGAATAACTTCCCCCAAAGCATCTTATAGTGGGAACCAGCGTGTCGTGAGCGATAGGCTGTCTCAGAGCTATATTTAGAAACTTGACTGTGGTGCCAGTGGCAGTGCTGCTCTGGGCTCTTTGTGGCAGAATGACGGTCGGCCAGAGGTTTGGACTTTAGAGGACAACTACTGTAGTACAAAGTTGTTTTGGTGACACGTCTCTTTTTCTCCCTCTCTCACCTGTGTTCTTTCCCACGCTCAGCCTCACTCGCCCTTCTCTCCATCACTCTGCAGATAGCACTCCTCCCACTCACACCATCTCTCCTCCTTATCACCCAGTGCTTACTGTGAAGCTTTCCTCCCTGACCTCATTCAGACATTACACTATTCTCACCCCTTTACAATTCCAGATTGAATAAGTTTTGCTTCCGTTTCCCTCCATCAGTCATCCTTTCTGTCCCAAAGAAACCAAGGGGCTGAGCTTGTTCATCATAGCAAATCCCTATTATTTGAGAGTTAAAATTGAGAGGGGAAATCTGGAAGGATGTCTGCTAAAGTAGACACGATCAAATAACCTTGAACTAATCCGAGCTGCTCTGAATGATTGAATGAGGTAGTTTATGTGTCACATGATGTCACAGGAATTTGATTTTGTCTGTAACTAACTGTGACTACAAATACATTTGAAAATCACAACAACTTTCATCTGACTTAGTAATATTTAGGTAAGGTTTGAGACTATTTAAAGTTACTGGATACATTATAAGAAAAATGAACATATTAACATGTCATGCTGTTATGTTATTGCTTGAGCACAGAGGTTCAAGATTGTTTCAGGTATGTGGTGGCACCTGTATCACAATTAGCATGTAATTTGTTCAGTTCTCTGACGAGACGAGCAGTGACGATCATGTTGAATTAAGTCGTTAATGAAGGTGTAATGTTTTGAAACTGTGTGTGTGTGTGTAGCAAACATCTAGCGTAAAGTGACAAAAGCTTGTAAAACCTTGCTTTGGTTGCCAAACTGTTTTAGAATTTATCAAAGTTACCTTATAATTCAATACTTTTTTATGTTTCCGTGACCACTGAAAGAATATTGAAGCTCCATTCCTCATTCAGCCCAATAGGGGCTTCAAACTAACTGTTTAAATCTAGGTTAGTATCAAAGTACCTGACCTCTGAGAAGTCAGGTACTTTTTTCACTCATTTTCAGCCCAGTCCTTTTATCTGATCATTGTCAGAGAAATGTCTATTTGCTTGTTAAGCCATTTAACACTGACCTATGAACAATTTAAGGATAAAGAACGCAACTAATTCAATAAATATATTAGTTTTCTGTCTACACATAACAACCTATCAAAGATCTAACTTTTAATCGGATTTTTAAGCACTTTTTTATGTAAACATGCATAATTTCTTCCTATATTTTTAGCTAAATCTACATGAAATGCCAAAGTTAAGGCAATCATAAAATAGTATTGTTCCACCAAAAAGATGCTGTGTGGCATGTCCTTAAAAACCTTAAGAAAACTGCTCAAGTGAAGCACAAAGATAGTAACAGTCAATCTACAGCATAGGGACAGTGTCTGAAAGTGTCCTTAAGAATATTAAAAAATCCACCAAGGACCTGACACATGCCCCAAGAGCTACATCTGACCCTTTCGTTGATCCAGCTACTGATACCTCATCAGAAACGGTCTCAGGAGAAGGGTTGCTGTCAAGAAGCCATTCTTAAGAAAGGGAAAGGCTGAGGTATGTCAAATTACATAAGAACTGCACCGAAAATCAGTGGCAACAGGTTTTATGTTTATAAATTTTTGGCTCAAATTATTATCAGTTGGTACATTGAGTGTCACAACTATAAAACACAGTGGAGGAGCTGTCCTTTGGGGCTACATCTCAACCATATGCTGTAGCTGTAGCTTCTAAATAGTAAATAAGCAGAGGCAGATGCGATGGTAGTATGATTTTTCTCACCTTTGGAAGACGTGGACCTAACATAGCATATTTCCCCAAATTCCTAAAATGTACCTTTACACATCAGACAGTGTTATGAAGAGCAAAGACATCAACTACTTGTGATGGATGAATTAGCAAACAGACAGAATAGTAAACTTGTAATTTCCATGTACAGTCTGACATTTTGTCCAGCCTAATCAATTTCCATGGAAGATGCGATTTTGTGTAATTTAATCACTAGAAACCAATGCATCCATCTGAATCTAAAGTCATTTCAAGTCAACAGTGATGCCGTCCCTACATGTAACCTTTGACAGATTTGGAAAAAAGACAAGTAAAAGCATGTTATTAGTATTAATATTGTGTAGTAGATGTGCCTCAGGGGAGCTGACAACATCAAACGGCAGAAAATAGCAGATCGTACTGACATTCATTTTCCAAACAATACTTTTTAGGAAAAGAAAAGTTTTAGATTCTGAATATAATGAAGGTGCAGAGGTGTCTGACAATAACCAGGATTCACCAGACCAGATGTTCTTCATATACATAACTGGATTCATTTATTAATTTTATTTTATTTTGTCATTATTTCAATTATTTTGATGATGAGCCCACATTCTGTGAACAGTGCCCTCTCTGTTTCTCTGCACATCTACTAGAACAACTAACAGGCATTGCGCTGCCACAAAGTGATGGTTTAGCATGTGGGTTATTCTCTCTTTGTGTTTTTTTTTTACCAGATCCTGCCCGTGTGGTAAACATGCCATCAGTCATCTACGCAGCCATTGGTCTGCCTGGCTTCATTCGCTGTCCTGTAGATGCCAACCCTCCTGTAACTCTGGTTAAGTGGAAAAAAGATGGCCTCCCTCTGCGGATAGATAAGGTGAGCCAGCGCTTTGCTGCTTTTGTCCCTTTCTTCCACTTTTCCAAACCTTAGACTGGAAATGAATCCTTCATTCCTGCTGTTGTGATTACATTTTTCACATTGATTGTTTTACTTTAAGTGCACTTCTCTGTTTCTTACTCAAGAGAAGAGATTCAGGATTTTTTAAATCATATTTACTGACAACCATCACACTGGTAATCTGTCTACTCCTTCTTATCCGCTGAGCACAATTTCTCCATCCTTAGTACCCTGGTTGGAGTCAAATGGAAGACGGGAGCATCCGTGTGGCAGAGGTGACGGAGGACTCTCTTGGCACCTATACCTGCATGCCTTACAATGCCCTGGGTTCCATGGGATGGTCGCCTCCTGCTCCCCTGGTGCTAAAGGTACATATATTTAGGCCACATATGTGAATACTCAGCACTTCCCTCTTCTGGCATTTAAAGGTTTACTGATAGGACTTACTGAAGTCTGAAAGGTGTGGATTTGTTTTCTCATTTGCAGACAGTTTACCCTATATTGCGACATTTTTTATTTATTTGAAATACAGGAACTATTTAGAATGCTTCAGATTAAATGAATAATATACATAAACCTTTCCACTCTTTCCACTTTTTTGACAACTGCAACATGATGTTAATTTGCCCAGTTCAATAAATCTCACCCTGAATACGAAGGGCACAAGCATCCAACTGTCTCCAGGATTAAATGCAACTTCACTCATGTGTACTCTTCAGTGAAGACAGCTCTTCTCAATTTCTTTCTGGGCAGGACCCTCCCAAATTCTCAGTGGTTCCTGGAGGGGTGTACAGGCAGGAGGCTGGAAGAGAACTGGTCATCCCCTGTGAAGCAGAGGGAGACCCTTTTCCCAACATCACATGGAGGAAGGTAAAACCCCTTGCACATCATACATCCTCCCTACATGTGCACAGCCTGTCCACTGAATCTCATGTGTAAGGCAGCTCATTAGTCGGTGCTTCTTGTTGTGTTATGTCACATTCACTGTTTTCCACTGAGGAACCTTCATTTCTAAAATCACTGTCTGTAGTGGATGCTCCGATTTTAATTTCACTGTACTGTATGTCATTGTAGCATTTTTAATCACATTTTAATGATGTCTATAAAAAATGCAATCAGGGAACATATTAGATTCTCTCAATTCTTTTCTTAATCATGGGGTGTGTTTAATCCTGCTTACTGACTACTGTATGATTAGCTATTGTTTCTGACTCTCATTTACTGAACACACATTTTATCATTTTGTATTGTTGCAGATGTCAGATGGTAGGTTGGGCTTTTTAGTAGCTGTTAAACTACTGGTTGTTTTTGGGGTTTTTTTTTTAAGTGTACATTTTGTATGACACATGCCAATGCACTGTTTTCTTTATCTTTTGCATTGGCTGGCTCTATCTTTCCATGCTCCGGGTGGATTGCAGGTAGGGAAGCCCAGTAAAAGCAAGCACAATGTTCTGCCCCGAGGCAGCTTACAGTTGAAGTCACTCACAAAGGAGGACCATGGGGAGTGGGAGTGTGTCGCCACCAATGTTGCCACGAGCATCACTGCCAGCACGCACGTCCAAGTCATAGGTACCTGAATACATAAATGCACAAACACATATAGATATGTAGACGCACACGTACAAATATCAAATTCTCTTTCTTTAGCAACTATAGTGTTAGCTGTAGACCAAGGCCTCTTTCCCCAGCAGCTTCTAATTTCTTACTGCCAAACTTTTAATTTTATGTTGCAGATTAAGATTAGTTGGCAATATTGTAGCAACTCTGAAGGAAAAGACAAAAAATGGTTATTTAGAGCCAGAACTGACTACATTTAAATTGATGGTAGAGGGGAGGGAGGGTTGATCTAACTGATTATTAGAATACTAAATGCTAAGTTACTAGCTAACTGTAGCTAACTAGCTTAGAAAGTAACATTTTGTTATGTGTTAGAGATTCTTGAACTGTTGGTTGAAATCTATAATTAATAACTAGAAAATGCATTTTCTGAAGAAACTGCTGTGTGAATGCTAACCTCAACTCATTTCATTGCTGTTTTTCAATTCGGAGCTTATAGTTGCAATTCTCACACGTCTTTACAAAAGACGCAGGGGAACTTTTTCTTTAAACGATGCAATACAGAGCAACAAAATGACACACTTCTGAACTGTTTTGCTCAGTAATTAGTTATAACTTGTCAAATTCCAAGTGAAGTCATTGGTCTTGTTTGCCTTGGCCTATTTGTCTTGGCCTTTGTTCTTGCTGACCACTGTGCCTCATTTATGGATGTAAGCCAGTCAAATCAGCTGAATACAATGGCTGTATCTCACTGGCTCCAAATTATTTTCCTGTTTTTTTGGCTCAAGTATAACAAGTAAACAATGCAAACAATGCAAAAAAAAAATAAAATACATTGAGCCATTTTACTGGTAGTATTTACTATGCAGGTAAAATTTTACATTACTGGACCCAACTCAGCTCACAATAAGTTTGTTTGACAGGTAAAATAAATGTAGGGTACCACAGCAGGGCAACTCGGTGACTAATGTGCCCTTTTAAAAATTGCTTTCCCTCTCTGCAGGCACAAGCCCCCACGCCCCCACCAATGTCCATGTGGCTGCGTTCTCCACTTTGGCCAATGTGTCTTGGGAAGCAGGATATAATGGAGGTTTCCAGCAGACATTCTCAGTCTGGTATGGCCATGTGTGAGTCATCCTAGCATGCTTTGCTTCCTGCTTTTTCTTCTTCCAATGTGTCCTCTGTTATTTCTGAAAATGTCTTTTCCAGGGTTGTGTTCAGAACAGTTGTGAAAACGTAGAGATGGAAAATACATGGAGTTCCAGTGTCTGTGAGTTTTCATCTCTGCTCTTGGAGTTTTCTTGAGGAACGCAATAAAAACAATAACAAAAAATACAGCAACTAAACTGAACTCAACCCAGACTTCTCTGTTCTGCTGCTGCTGCTGCTGCTGCTGCTTTGCCACTGCTTGACTAGGGAAAAGGCCTGGGTTAAAAATATGTGTTCAGTCTCACAAGATTTTAGCCATGGCAGGTACTGTTACATTTTGAATCACAATAATTTCTTTTCTTATATTCTTATATTTTCTTACATCTGAGATGTCCAAAATGTATAATGCAGTACAAAGTGAGTTGATGATGTGCTGCTAATCCTGGGTTGTTAAAGTCTACATGTTAAAGTCTATGGTGTTTAAACTTCTTCAGGGAACATGTGGTACTATTTTAACCCAGGTCTGCAAGGGAACCATTTGCATTTTGGATGATCGATGTGAACACTGTGTAGTTATTAGATGTCAAAGAAACTCCGGTAGACTGAAGTAGATTTTTTTTT